TCTTTAACCACTTTAATATTAACTGTAATTTCCAGAAGAGTTACAGGATCAAATTAAAATGAATATGTTATTGGAACATTGGCTAGAAATGTTTAAGTAAAACAAATCTTTTTTCATAAACATGTAAACTCTTTAAAGGAAAAAGTAACCTTTTATTTTTAATTTTTTGACATGTGTTAACGTATTCAACATTAATAGAATATGATTTGTTGTTAATCTGTTTTATGTAGGCAAAGTAATTTCTTCACTTTGGATATAGTGCAGAATTAAAACCCCGGCAGGGTTTAATTGCTGTGTCTCTCTGCTAGAAAGATTCACCTTCTCTGTTTGTCCTGGTGACCATTGTCACCAATCCAGAGAGTGATGGGAAATTCAATAATTGTAGAATTGTCAAAAGAACAAAAGGTGACAAAAACCTTCCAATAGGGACACCTATTTTAGTGATAGCTGTTCAGGAGGGTAACGCCCCTCACTTTTCTGAAAGTGAGAAAGGGAAGAAAGGTCCACTTTAGGATAACAAAGTTATACAACCAAGGCTTTCCTTAGGTGATCTTGTCTTAGTACCCCCATTGGAAGATTTCTCCTCTAATAGTTTTCTAGGGACAACTCAAAATCTGGGATTTTCTTTTACTTTCAATGACAATGCTAAACAGAATGAAACGGGTACAGACAGCAATAAAAATCTAATAGGTGTTCTAATCAATCTCCACTCTATCCAAAACTAAAAAAAAATGTTTTACATTTAGTTATACTTTAATATTAAAGTTAGAAATATAAAAATTTAAAATCATCAGGAAAATAATAGTTTAAAGTGGTTCTAAAGTTTAAAGTTTTTTTATCTTAATGTATTCCCCACATTAAGGTAAAAACTGTTTTACCACTTGTTGTGCCCCTCCAAACATTTACCTGATTCCTCTCTCGATCCATCTGCTCTCTCCTCTCTCTCCCTGTATTCACAGGAGACTCAGGCAGCAGTGGGAGCTCCTGCTGCTGTCAGTCAAATTCAGAGGGAGCGGGGGACAGAGCTGCACACAGCCCAGCTTGGGAGGCCGTCTGCAAGTGTGCCCCCATTGCAAGCAGCTTGCTATGGAAGCACACACAGGAAAGGAGCAGACAGCGCTGGTGGAGGACCCCAGAAAAGGAGGTTTGAAGCCACTCTGTGCAATACCATTGCACAGAGCAGGTAAGTATAACATGTTTACTATTTTATTAAAAAACAAATAGCCTTTACAACCGCTTTAATTGGAGAAAAGGGAGAAAAAGTAAGGGAAGGGAAAAGAAATAAAGGTTTAGATAAAACAAATTTTATTAAAAATCTTTTTTTACTTGTCAGGTTGCCTTAAGGAACATCATAGGTAAATGGAAGCTCTTTCCTTTGATCTGCATATATGAATGAAACAGAGTAGATACCAAAGTAACAATGTTACTTTGTATCCCTATATCTAGCATCCGAACAGTGTTTACAAACAGATTTGACAGCAAAAGCTTCTACAACTGCTGTATTTACTCAACAATTCCAGGGTACCATTTTGACAGTTGGGAATTGTCAGCAAGTGTGAAGGGGGAGCGGCAGTGAGGCTGCAGGATAAGGCATTCTACATACAAAGTTTTTGGGTTGTGTGTAGCTTGCCCAGTAATTACAATTGGTTAAAAAAAAAACACATTTCTGTGTGGAAAATTTTTAATAATTCATATGTAAATGTGGTTAGCCATGTTTGCTTATTACATTATCTTGCCAGAATACTGGCCTCAGAATGTCCTAAACCCTCTGGATCAGAATAAGCCAAACAACCAGCATTTCCAAATGTTCAGTAATAGCAATTTATCTGCTTTTCAGAATGTTTCCTTTTAGATGGCCACATAAGTTAAAATGGAGTTTAATATGTGTGAAGTCATAGGAGATCTGATTTAATTAAATAATTGAACGAGGGTGAATAAAACTGTCTAGATGACTTGGATTTTATTCATTAACTCATTAGATTGTAATCTGTGTGAGAAGATAATACACAATGTTTCTAGAGAAGTAAGTTGGACTGCTCAATCAGAATATTTGTATGTGTGGAAAGTAACCCTAGAATTCCTTTCTTACAACCATCAACTGATTAATTTTGTGTTCCTTACACTGTTTAATTAATATGTACAACATCTGAGGCTTACTGTGTTGGAAGCAATTTCACACACCCTTCAAGCAGCATAAAAGCTATAAACACATCTGAGAATACATCTGGTTACATTAAGAATCCATTATTACTAGCATTGGAATATCTATATGGTTAAGTTAAATAATTCCATTAAATATATACCTTTTGACCAATACCTCCTTTTGTGCCTGGTTGTCCAGGTAACCCCTGAAAAAGAACAAGAAAGTCAGGATTTGGAGATGACATTAAAAATAGATTCTTAATAAATGCATTCCGTCTCATTAATGCATCAGTGAGTACTGGGAAAAGATTCCATTAGTGGCCAAACACTATTTTCAACAGAAGTAAGTGATTAAAGAAATACTCACTGAGCTTTTGTGTACCTAAACTGAATATATAAGTTAGACTTTGGGATCTTAACAACTATTTTACTCTAAACATACGTTTTTAATCTAGAAGTTGTTCAATAGCATGCACATTCTTTATAGAAGGTAAGCACTATATTGTGTCTACATTTAGAAAACCAGTAAACAAAATCAAATACCCCTAGAAATTTAACAACTATTGTACATTATGCTATGGAATAATAACAAGACCCGAAGGACTTGGTATGGATGGGGGCACAACCTTTTTTTTTTGCAAAATTTTTAATTGCCGGTAATTCTTTCTACATACAGCTGTTGGCTGAAACATTACCGCATGTTTTCACCAATAAAATACAGCATGCCTTTAATAAAATAACTCATGCGATATTTTAGTGAATGGCAAATTGTTTTGGGAAAAATGCTGTGCCATATCTATACTTGGATGTGGTAGGATACTGCTTAGTGAATTGTCCCCTGGGTTTGAACTTCGCAGTCAAATTTTTGTTTGCATGTTCGACTGGGAACCGGTATGTGAACCTATGTGATAGGTTGCCACTTGTGCAATAAGTCCATCCATTAAATTTCCTTGCTACTAAATATTCCAGGGTCAACTGTTAGTGGTATTATAACAAAGTGGAAGCAACTGGGAACAACAGCAACTCACAAAGTGGTAGGCCACGTAACATGACAGAGCTTGGTCAGTGCATGCTGAAGCACACAGTGCGCAGAAGTCACTAACTGTTTGCAGAATCAGTAGCTAAAGACCTTCAAACTTTATGTCGCCTTCATATTAGCACAACAACAGTGCATAGAGAGCTTCATGGAATGGGTTTTCATGGCTGAGCAGCTGCATCCAAGCCTTACATCACCAAATGCAATGCAAAGCTTCAGATGCAGTGATGTAAAGAACGCTGCTACTGGATTCTAGAGCAGTGGAGATGTGTTCTCTGGAGTGATGAATGACGCTTCTCTGTCTGGAAATCTGATGGGCATGTTTGGGTCTGACGGTTGCCAGGATAACAGCACTTGCCTGACTGCATTGTGCCAAGTGTACAATTTGGTGGAGGGGGGATTATGATGTGGGGTTGTTTCTCAGGAGTTGGGCTTGGCCCCTTAGTTCCAGTGAAGGGAACTCTTAAGGGGTCAGCATACCAAAACATTCTGGACAATTTCATGCTCTCAACTTTGTGGGAACAGTTTGGGGATGGTTCCTTCCTGTTCCAACATGACTGTGTACCAGCACACAAAGCAAGGTCCATAAAGACATGGATGAGCAAGTTTGGGGTGGAGGAACTTGGCTGGCCTGCAAAGAGTCCTGACCTTCACCCGACAAAACACCTTTGGGATGAATTAGAGCAGAGACTGAGCTAGGCCTTCTCGTCTGACATCAGTGCTTGACCTCACAAATACACTTCTGGAAAAATGGTCAAACATTCCCATAGACACACTCCTAAACCCTTTGGACAGCCTTCAATATTGAACCCTATGGACTAAGACTAGGATGCCATTAAAGTTTATGTACATGTAAAGGCAGGTGTCCTGATACTTTTGGCAATATAGTGTATATATATATATATATATATATATATATATATATATATAGTACACATACACTAATTTATTAGGTTGATACAAAGGCAGGATGGATCCATGCTTTTATGTTGTTTACGCCAAATTCTGACCCTGCCATCTGAATTTCATAGCAACCAGTCTGCCCATTCTACTCTGACCTCTGATATAAACAAGGCATTTTTGTCCACACAACTGTCACTCACTGCATAGTTTCTCTTTTTTGGACCATTCTTTGTAAACCCTAGAGATGGTTGTGCATGAAAATCCTAGTAGATCAGCAGTTTTTGAATTACTCAGAGCAACCCATTTGGCACCAACAACCATGCCACATTCAAAGATACTTAAATCCCCTTTCTTCCCCATTCTGATGCTCGGTTTGAACTTAAGCAAGTCGTCTTCACCACATCTACATGCCTAAAAGTTGTTGCCAGGTGATTGGCAAATAAGCATTTTGTGTTACCAAGCAATTGAATAGGTGTACCTAATAAAGTGATCAGTGAGTGTATGTATACATATTTAACTTGACCCAAATCTATCCATCTGTCATGTCCATTATCTCACACTGCAATTCTACCCCAGATTTTGCATTCATATTGAACAAAAGAAAATGTCGCAGGAGAACTTTAGATTCATCCTGCAGTAAGAAGTAGGGTGAGGTTCCAAGGCTGAGGGAAAAGTTGAGTTCTCCACTGGGTAGACCTCATCACTATCACCTCAACAGTTGATGCAAGGTTAACAGGTAGCTGATCAAATCACTAGTACCCATCCATAACCTAAAATCAGTATGAGGTTAACATTTGAAAGCACTTGACTTGAAAGCCCCTTCTGAAAGAAGTTTTCTACTTTCTACATTTATTTTCTTAGCAGTAGAAGCATGTTAAATACTTACAGCTAAACCTTGATGACCAGGTGAACCAGGGATGCCATTTTGCCCAGGGCTGCCCTAGACAAGACAGAAACATGAATTAAGAAGTGGGCATGGAAATAAATAGGCTATATGGCGTAGAATAAGAGAACTAATGAGGTACTTACCTTCACTCCATTAACACCAGGATTTCCATCTTTGCCATCAATGCCAGGGAGACCCTAAATTACAAAAAATGTAAGACTGTAGGAGGGAAATTACACTTTTTCAAAATTCTAAAAATGATGATAAAAGATGTTTATGGATAGATATTACAACATAATTAGTCTATACATTTGTTGAGCTGGAAATATGATTAAGAATGTGGGCCAAGCCTATTTATACATAGAAACTTAATGTAATGGTGAATAATTATTGGCTCTTAACAAGATAAACACTTTACTTACACTGAATAATAACATACAAACGAACACTCATTTAGATGAAAAAGAGTGATGATTATTTATTGTCAAGGTTCAAATGAACGCTAAAACCAGGCCAGCAATTACTATAATTCTGTGTACAGACACAAATAATGTAAGAAGAAAGTCTTTTACACATCAGGTGATGGCATCTAAAGCAGAAGTGGAAACATCTAGCTTCAGCCTATTCACAATCCTGTGGGAATTTGAGGCTACCTTTCTTAACAAAGTACTTTACTGATTGGGTAGACAGGAAAAAAATATATACACATATCTTCCTGCGATTATATGTCAATCCTCCCAGGGCCAGCTGAAAACAATTCTTTATTGGGAACTGCCCCAAAGTTTATGGAAGGCTTCCGTACAATCCACAGTAAGAATTAGACTATAAAAAGAATAGTTCAATGATGCTTGTTGTTGAATGACATCTTTGGGTAAAGTTAGTTTATTTTCATTGCAGCTATAATAGTCTACCCATGTCCCATCCCCCACTAACCCTTTCCTACTTTGGCTTTCATTTCTATTTTTTGCCTCTTACCTTTTTCCTAATAGCTGTTGCTTTGTACAAATCAATACATCTATTTTAAAATTAAAATTAAAACTTACATTGTTTCCCTTAGGACCCATTGCTCCCATTTGTCCAATGACACCTCGTGACCCCTAAAACAATAATTTGTTGGTTAGAAAAGTATAAGACTAGGCAAAAATGAATGACACAGTTCTATACAATGTGGACTCAATTGAAGATACACATTTTACACATCACATCTTAAAGAAACTAATGTTATTTTTCCCCTAATTTCTGTATAAAACGATGGTCCTTTCTATCAGAATGTTGGGAGCATTTACACAAGGACGGCTTATGTGCAGAGAGACCCATTGAGACCTATAGAGACTGAGTCTATGAATATACATTGATGCTTGTAACCAGAAAAGGCAATAGGATTTTCCCTGGTACCTTAAACTTAGATATACTGCTTGCAGGTTTCAGTAGACCCCGATAACCACAGTTCTGTTTAACAGTGGCATGGAAATACAATGAAATGTAAGAGACCTCAGTAATGACTGGACACTAATGAATTCCTGGGACCCACTATGAACCCCTTTGATGCTATTTTCTTACCTTTTGTTTCCTGCTGGTTGTCAGAATGCACCCAGTGTTTCGGTTACTTACGGTAATTATGAAAGTGTCTACTGTTTATGGCTTTATAGCTTTATCCTTTTCTTTGGTAAGAAGCATTTATGTTACCAATATTATTATTGGTAATTATTATAGGGCAGAAGGCATTTGTATTGCCATTATTATTATTGATAATAATATAGAGCAAAAGGTAAAAAAAATATTAATATCTAGCCCACACATGTATCAGACCCACAACCTTGGCTCTAACTGAAATTATAACGCTAATAACAGCACTTTCATACCATTTCTTTGACAGGATTTGAGATCCATTGCTTTAAATGAACAGGCAAGTTTCCATCCCTCTACTGAATCTGAGGAATAAGAAGCTCTACTGGTTAACGCTATGGGCTAAACTTAGGATAAGCATGGTACTTTGCCTTCCCTCATATGAATTGACTTTTTGTGTCACTAAAATGAGCCTGGGAGAGAGATCTTCTGACTTTGGCAATTAGGTTCCCAAAAGGACTAAGCCCTTAAACACATTCATCTTTTAAGAAAATTTAAGCTAGATGCCTTGCTTTAAAAAGCCTTAGCTTGTTTAGCCTACAAAGAGGTCCAGGCACGGACTGAATAGTATTGCTATCAGCATATATATTAGGATGTATGTATGTGAACACAGTATACAGTATATAATATACAAAAACATTGTCATGTATGAGGGTATGTAGAAATATATGTAAATAGAATTTTTCCAATTGGTCTCACTATAGACAAACTTTACTTTATAGAATGCAGTGCAGAACAAGAATACTTTTAATGTATATCATATGTAATCATTTTATTTGAATAATAAATAGGAAAAACATATGACTCACCTTATCTCCTTTCTCTCCTGGCTCTCCTGGGGGCCCCTTTGGCCCCTCCTCACCCTGAAAAAGACATAGAGAAGTGAAAACTCTGCAAGGCTGTGCTCATTAGTGTTAATAACCACCCTAAGTGCAGTTTAATTAAATGTTCCTGCTCTCTAGGAGATTCTGTAATGAGGACTGAGGAATCTGCAAGACAATGGGGAATTTCACCTCTTTCGCTTCTGACTGCACCAAATGTAACATTGTGCAGATGAACTCACCTCTGAATAGGATCACAGAATATAATAAAATGAGCATTTCTATTTACAGTGCTATTTAAAGGAAACAAAAAACAAAAGTAAATAACGTGTAAGCGTTTGTGCCCAACAACAATTTGTTTGTTGTTATGCGCAAAAACCTATACTTTATTTATTACTTTTATTCATTTTGGTTTAATTGTAAATAGCGCTGTCTTGGACTCTACTAATTTGTTTTTGTAATGTGCATATTTTCCATATTGTTACAATTGTTTAAGACATAGTTGCTATTTATAAGTGTTTTTATAGTTTTTAGAGATTTAATTTTTGGTAAGCACAGCAGTGAGTTCACTCTAAGAAAAGTAATTTGTTTACAGAGGATAATAAGTCTGATTCACCAAATCTACCACTACAGAACTACTGTGCTACTCAGTGACAGAGAGAATGAACAGTGGGACACTGACTAACTAGACAGGTTTAAAGGAGAAGTAGGGACAAATCTATTTTAGCCCTACTTCTCCTGTAGATCGCAGGAGTGCACTTCGTTCTGCACTCTTGTGACCCATATTCAGCCGACAGTGGGCTAAAGTCCACTGTCAGCTACCGTCACTCAGCCAGTCCAGATTCTGGAGAGATCTTGACTTCAATGTAGGGATCTACCCAGATAAAAAAAAAGCCTATGAAAAAGGTACCAGGGGCATCTCATGGGGCCCCCTACTGACCCCGGGCCCTAGGGCAGTGCCCGAGTTTCCAAATGGTCAGTCCGCCCCTGCTCCCAGCATGCCTCTGAGAGTCTATACCAGCTGCTCCTACCCCGTGCACAGCCTGGCATTCTAGCGAGCGCTGGAGGGGCAGAGCAGAGAACCAGTGATTGACAGTCACAACTCCCTTCTTATTGAAGACTGTGAACTGAAAGATCAGTGGTCTTTGATTGTTCAGCTCCCAGTGTAGAGGCAGTGGGGGACAGATGCAACATCAAATTAATGCTGAGCCACCTAGGTGACGTGAGTATGTAGGTTTGTTATTTTTTTCTCAAAACCCAACTTCTCTTTTAAGGTCTTAAGACAGATTGAACAATAATAATTTATAAACTTACTGTATGTATTCTTTTAGATTATGCTATTAACACACCTTTTTAACATGACTAAGAAATGTTTAGTTTTATATCAACTTACAGGTTTACCAGCTGCACCAACTGATCCAATCATCCCTTTATATCCCGTTGGTCCCTGTGGAATTCAGATGACATCTTTTTTAGAATAACAGTTAAAAAGGCATAACAAAAAGTGCATATTGTTACACTGCTTACTTGGTTTACCTGGGATCCTCCTTCTGTTTACATATCCCTTCAAGCACAGTAGACACTGTTCATCAAGATAGATTAAAACAGTCTTTCTAAACATTTTCACCCCAGAGGAACCCTTGAAATAATGTTCAAGTCTCAGTGAACCCCTGGTAAGATTAGTCTATTGGGGATCTCTTGGAAAATACCCCTTACATTCGGGGGGGTGGCAAGTGGGAAAAATGCCACCCTTACAAGGGTGGCCAGAATGATACTCTTGCAGTCATGCTGTTGGCTTTGTCAAATGGCATTGGACTTAAAACTATGCAAGGCCATCAGATGGGGGTCAGTTAGCCACAGCTCAAAGAACCCCTAGCCATCCATGGAAGAACCCTAGGATTTTACAAAACCCTGGTTGAGAATGGCTGGATTAGAACAAGCAAGTGCATTGCAAAAGGTTTTATCTTATTGTAATAATTAAGCATGCACTGTCTTTACACTCACACACACACTTTTCTCTCTCTCTCGACTGATATTAAACAAAAAGATGGGATATCAAACACATAGCTGATACATGACTAAATGGGAAAATCCTAAGGCATACAAGAAGCCTTTCTGTGACCCAAGGTCAACGTTTCATTGTACTTTCTTTTGTGCAAGCATCTCCTGTTGTGCTTATCTTAGTGAGAACTTCTGCTAGAATGTGCTATTGGAGGCAGCATGTGGTCTCCCCTATGATCGGGACTACTTTTCTACTGCTTAGACCACCAAACAAGAAAAGGTGGTTTGATGTTTCCTAAAATATAAAGGGATTTTTGAATCCTCTCAACAATACATTTACCCACTCTCTTTATAGTTCTCTTGCTGAATTTAGCCATAAATATCCAGCGGTAGCAAGAAGAGAAAAATAGAGAAAGAAAAAAGCCATCACAGTTTGTAAATCTAAGCCTTGGTGGAGCATATCCCCCTTTGTATACTACTTGGGATCTTCCTGCCTTTTAGATCTGTCTTTAAGCACAGTAGATGCCAATAATCATGATGGATTAGAATGAGCATGTGAATTGCAAATTGAATTGCATTGTCCTTATGGTGCACACACACTCTTTATTAAATTATGATATCTAATGTACTAAATAACAAATCCTTTTTTTTCAAGCTAAGTAAAAAATGTTGAAGAACCATCTCAAATGTCCACTGTTATAGATACTTACAGTTTCTCCTTTTGGTCCAGCGAGCCCTGGGTAACCACGGACTCCCTGAGGGCCCTGTGTCACAAATTAGAATAGAAATTTCATAAAAGTTATCAAAGCACTTTAAAATTGTACAAGTAAAAACAATGTTGTAATAAGCAGTCAGTGACTAATATATACTATACAATAAACGAGTGGTCTGTTTTTCAAAAAATGCTCAGAGATAGTATATTGTGGACTGATTTGTGAAGAAGACCCAAGAACCTAAGTTGTGTATTCTAGGTACAGAGAGATTTTTCTAGTTTAAAGAACAAACAAACTGAGTTGTGATATATTGGGGAATATTTACTAAATCTGGAGAGTGCAAAATCTGGTGCAGCTCTGCATAGAAACCAACCAGCTTCCAGGTTGTCTGGTGAAAGCTTAACTGAACAAGCTGAAGTTAGACGCTGAATGGCTACCATGCACAGCTGCTCTGGATTCTGAGTGCTTTTAGTAATTCTACCCCATTGCTTCTTCAGATATTATGGGCCTAGGCTATTCAGTACTTAGGGGTCAACAGACTAATACAACATTTAATCCTACATTTGCATATGGTCCATCAGAAATTGGAAATAAAATGTAAATAAGTGTACGTCAGTCATGCATGCAGTACAACTGCATTGCTTTACTTTTAAGGCAATTGCTATTTTTTTGTTCCAATTTATGTATGTACGTGTGCAGATACTTCACAGTAATGCATTCAAAAACAGGTGTCTACAAGAGATGGCAGCAGCTGAACCCCTTCCGCAGCATGTGACACTGATTCATGGCTATAGGGGAGGAGTGTGTATTCCCAGGATCAAGGTCAGCCAAGATGGTGGCGGTTGCACTACTGCCTTTTCACACTACTGCTTTTTTGAACTACTGACCAGTGGAGGAAATATATAAATACCCTCATGGGGTTCCCATAAACAGGCCGCTCTGCTAAATCTATGTATGTTTGTCCCAAGGAGGTGCTAGCTTACCACATTACATAAGGTTGGTTCCCTATATGAATTTGTATTTATATATTTGTTTTAAGGGGGAAATCATGTCTAGTTATGTGCACCCATATATCTGGGATATTAGTTAAGCAGAATTAAATTCAGCCTACTGGTTTCCAGTTTTTCATGTGACCGCTTGGGAAAATGAATTGTCCACCCCTGGCCTAGTGGTAGCATTCTGCACTAACTGTAATGGCTGCAGGTAATTTTTGATAGCAAAACAGTTTAGCTAAGTGTCTATGGGGGAACAGACTACTTAACTACTAACTATTGCTGTGGTTCTCAGGTGCAAGAATGAATATTTGACCACAGGTGCTACTTGCAATTCAGGTGTTACACTTAAATCAAGCTCTACCCCTCCATTTATAAAGAATCGGCTATGCTGACATTTATTTGTAGGAATAGGAAGTTGTACATTACCGTAGGTCCTGGAATTCCTTGTTCCCCTGAAATTCCTACATCTCCCTTTGAGCCCTGTAATTGGAAAAATGTCTACTGAACCAAGATATATACAATAATGCTTTAATTTTACCAAAAAAATATAATTGTTTTTAAACTTCCGAAAGAAATTTCAGAAGTTACGTCATGAAAAGAAAAGAAAACATTAATATTACGGCACACAGAAACAGTAACGTTCTGCACATGTCCAGGGGTGATCTGTACCTTTGTGAGTGAGAGATCCCTATTGCAAGGCTTTCTATTGTTTTATTATTCATTTTTTCCTTGGTTGGCTTGAAAGTGTTTTGGCATAATTTAGCAGACTGTGCCCCTTGACAGAAAGGAACAGAGGGAGGCTGATTTCCATGACAGCAGTGTTTAGGAAATACTGCTTATTCACTTAATTACAGTCAAATGCTCATAATCGCTAGGCGGGCATCAATATGTTCAGCTCTCAGACCCTTCACTTTGAGCTGCTAGTTAGTAATAGTCTGGCACGTAAAGAGAGTGCATTAAAATGCATGTCTATGTGCACATTCATGTGTACCCTTCAGGGCAAGTTTGCATGCGAGTACTCTTGTCATGTATGTAAATGTACAGGTACGCACAGAATGACTGGATAGACAGTAACAACAGCATATCTACAGCATATCCTAGTGCAATTGGCTGGCTTCTTGGCATAAAAATCTAAATGCTCAGCTGAAGGGAGTGAAGCCATGAAGCGGCTTAGATTAAGCACAATCTTATGGTGTCATTTAGGAACTTAGTGCAATTGCGTCCTTTTATCAACAATTGTATTTGTAGAGAAGGTGACACTGGCCCTTCATTTGAACTTTCATTTAGGAATTGATTGTTTTGTGTATATGCAAATGACAGACTGCATGGCAGTTGTTGATTTGCTTCATTTGTATGATATATGTTAGTGGTGGGTTGTTTCCCCTATACCATTTAAAAAAAAAAAATCTTAGTCAGTTTTAGGATATACATACAGTTTTTCCTTGTGGTCCTGGCTCACCAAGAGGACCTGGACGCCCTTTGTGTCCCTTAAAAGAAAAGAATATTGTGTTATAATGCAATTTCTTCCCAGCACCTATGGTTTAGCATGTATGATAGCACACATTTAACTGAGGAAACAAAGAAATAAGAAGACACCACCGGTCTAGCCATGAAAATATAAAAACCCAATTGAGATATGTGACAGCAAAACAGCAATATTCAAAACGTTTTTGTAAATTAGTGTGCATCTATCCCAAGCATTATTCAAATTAATTTTGAAGTCAAATTTCGATTCAGTTTTAGTCATGATCTTTTGACTAAATTGCCATTTTAGTTTTAGTCATACAGTATTTTGGTCAACTAAAATCTCCAGTATATTTCAGTCACATAAAAACTCCAGTACATTTTAGTCAGTTACAATCTCCAGTACATTACAGTAATCTCCAGGCAGTAGGAAGACAGAGGGAACTTGTGTCTCTCAGCCAATACGACTCACTGATAGAATCAGGGGGATGGAGCTTTAACAGACAGGCGGAGCTCTGAGGAAAGCGGAAATTCAGGTGGGTAAATGCCCCTTTTTTCTGTTCTTCTTCGTTGGTGAAAATTGGAATTTATTTTCTTCATCGTTTCCATCAATTGACTTAACTCTAATATTATTTTCTTTTATTTTTTGGGCACTGAAAACATACAGCTGACAAAAACGATGATGAACATATTAACTTAACACTGATTCAAAAATATTTGCAGAGAATACGGTCACTTGGTAAATTCACCTTCTGTGACCAACTCTTGTTAACTGCCATTTTATTTATTTATTGTTGGTAACCAGGCACACCTGCGAGTTCACTTGCCACAGCTGGCATGCATAGAAGACAAATTGGCTGTGCACCGATATTTTAACATTGTGCACAAAATTAACTGTCTGTTGGGACCACTTTGAAACTTTGCAGCTTTTTATTAATAAAAGGCTAAAGAGTTCACATAATTGCACATGTAGAGGAGTGCATGCAACTTTTGACAATGCAATCCGGAAACATAGTTAAAAATGATAGTTCACAGAAAGACTCACCTTTACTCCCTGCAGTCCTTGGGGTCCTTTAGGGCCAGCTGGACAGTTTGTTGGACACTAAAAATATAATTAAATTGCATTGTTTTATAGTGTCAAAAATAGCAATTAAATTGAAACCTTAAAATAAGTAATGGTGTCAGAACTTTGCCTTGGTGAGGTTGTTATCTTCTGAAACATTTGTAGTTTTGTCAGTTAAATAAAATTACATTTACATTCACTATACAACCTTGTTCCAATCAAAGATTTCTTTTTGAAACAAATGAAAGAAAACACACCCTGCTATTGCTTATAGCGCAGACCACTAAGCATTTCTTTACTCGTAGTTGGCCCATATTCACCATTTAAATTTGTATCATCATTATCTAAAGAACCACTATCTTGCTCCCCTTCATAATAGCAACTTTATTTAAACTTTGTGTATGTCATATATGAGGCTTGTCAGATGACACCTCAAATAGGATCTTAGTATATTTAGTTGTGCTGAGATTTTATAAAACATTATATCATTTTGTTATGGACCTCTTCTGGTACCACAGAACAAAGGTAAGAGGGCCATTGAGGTTCTAGAAGAAGGTAGCATTGATCCTTGGATTCCTAACAAAAAAAAAAGTTTTGGTAACCTTAGGCCAAGGATTAGATGCTCATGCACATGGCAAGAGTTGGGTATTTCAAAAAGTAATTGCAAACAGTAAATTTATACTGTTCTTTCTGTGGGTTTTTTTTTTAATGATTACAAGGCATTCTCTGATTGGACGAGGTGGAGAAGAAGAGTGGTGACATCACAATCTCCACCATATACAATCACAGAATGCTTTGTATTTATTAAGAAAACAAGGCTTGCTACACTGCTCAAAAAAAAATTAAAGGAACACTTTTTAATCAGAGTATAGCATCAAGTCAGTTAAACTCCTGGGATATTGATCTGGTCAGTTAAGTAGCAGAGGGGGTTGTTAATCAGTTTCAGATGCTTTGCTATTAATGAAATTAATAACATGTGCACTAGATGGGTAACAATGGGATGACCCCAAAAACAGGAATGGTTTTTCAGGTGGAGGCCACTGATATTTTTTCCCTACTCATCTTTTCTGACTGTTTTCACTAGTTTTGCATTTAACAAGGGTCAGTGTCACTACAAGTAGCATAAGGCATACCTGGACCCTACAGAGGTGGCACAGGCAGTCCAACTCCTCCAGGATGGCACATCAATACATGCCATTACCAGAAGGTTTGCTGTGTCTCCCAGCACAGTCTCAAGAGCATGGAGAAGATTCCAGGAGACAGGCAGTTACTCTAGGAGAGCTGGACAGGACCATAGGAGGTTCTTAACCCATCAGCAGGACCGGTATCTGCTCCTTTGTGCAAGGAGGAACAGGATGAGTACTGCCAGAGCCCTACAAAATGACCTCCAGCAGGCCAGTGGTGTGAATGTCTCTGACCAAACAATCAGAAACAGACTTCATGAGGGTAGCCTGAGGACCCGTCATCCTCTAGTGGGCCCTGTGCTCACTGCCCGGCCTCATAGAGCTCGATTGGCATTTGCCATTGAACACCAGAATTGACAGGCCAGCCACTGGTTCCCTGTGCTTTTCACAGATGAAAGCAGGTTCACCATAAGCACATCTGACAGGGCCTGGAGAAGCCATGGAGAACATTATGCTGCCTGTAACATTGTTCAGCATGACAGTTTTGATGGTGGATCAGTGATGGTCTGGAGAGGCATATCCAGGGAGGGACGCACAGACCTCTACAGGCTAGGCAATGTCACCCTGACTGCCATTAGGTATCATGATAAAATCCTTGGACCCATTGTCAGACCCTACGCTGGTGCAGTTCCTCCTGGTGCATGACAATGCCCAGCCTTATGTAGAGAGAGAATGCAGGCAGTTCCTGGAGGAAGAAGGAATTGATGGCCCCGCGCTCACCTGACCTAAATCCAATAGAACACATCTGGGATATCATGTTTCAGTCCATCGTTGAGGTTGCACCTCAGTGATGTCCTGGTCCAGATCTGGGAGGAAATACCCCAGCACATCGTTGTCTCATTAGGAGCATGCCCCAACATTGTTAGGTTTGCATACAAGCATGTGGGGGCCATACAAACTACTGAGTACCATTTTGAGTTGCTGCAATGAAATTTCAGCAAAATAGACTAGCCTGCTGCATCATTTTTTCACTTTGATTTTCGGGGTGTCTTTAAATTCAGTCCTCTGTAGGTTGATAATTTTCATTTCCATCAAACGATGGGGTATCCCTACATTCCTAACACGTTACCCAGTCCATATCAGTATAGATATCCAGCATGATATTTTTCCCCATTAAGATCTGATGTGTTTTCAAAATGCTCCTTTTATTTGTTTTTAACAGTGTATAAACAGTATAGGTGCAAGTGAACAACCCCCCTGTTTTAAGTGTACAGAGAAAAAGCTGCAAACACAGAACCTAGAAGACCACAGCTCTCACTTATGTGCTCCAGGCTACTACAGTGAATTACAGCATCCCAAGGGGCTTTTCAAATATATATGTATAAACTGATATCAAGCCAAGCTGGCCTAATGTAAGTATGCACAACATAAAATTTATGAAATTCAGCTTTAAAGGTTAGCTCTACTTTTGTGGGAATAATTAGCAAAAAGAAATTAATATATCATATACAATTGCTACACAAGTCAAATTGAATATTATTGAAAATTACTTTTCCTCTTAAATCTGTAGCACTGTAATTTTCTGTAAAATGCAATAGTGTACAGAATGCTCCCCCCCCCCCCCCCCCCCAAATGCATTTCTGGTTTGTGTGATCGGCTTACTGATTTTCCCAGAAGTCTGCACTAAGCTACAAGTCATATTTTGGGCATCCCCTGCAACAAAATGTCATTTTTGGTGAGTTACTCCAAAAAGGAAATCAAGTCTATAGGGATTCAGTCCCTGCCACTCCCATTCTCATTCACGTTGCACA